ATTGCATGGGAGTAGCAAAAGAGCTCGAGTATGTGATCCTTAACAAAGAGAACCTCTGCACAAAGATCATGCGCTGGGTTTGTGTCACGTCAGTGCATGAAATCATTCATACATTCATCCTTTACCTCAAGCTACTTCGAGAGCATCTAATCTTGCATTCTACTGCACTGCACTGCAAAGCATATTATATATACCTAAAAAATATAGACTTGGTGCACACCTTTGGTATGAGAGAAAAATAAAGCAAAATTTTCCTGGGAAAAAGCAAAATGTTCCTGGGAATAAATGATCAACTGGTCTTCCAAATATGAGAACTAAATTTGAGCTGATTGTTTTAAGTAATCGCAGTTAAAACCAGTAGAAAAAGAGTAACCCGTTAAAAAGAAAACTTGATATTAATCAATAAGTTAAAACAAACAAAGATGATCTTGTTTCAGCCCTATCAGTTTTAAGTGTACTATGGTGGAATTCCATTCCTTGTTGCTTTCCTAGCATACAGATTATAGCTTTTCATTGAAGAATGGTTTGCAGTGCACAAGTGATGACAACTTTTATGTGGCTGTATAAGTATTGAAACTTTCAAGATAAACCCTGATTGACAAGCATAATATCATATGTCATTATTGAACTGCCAGTTCCAGTATACAATCTGGCCCAATGTTGTAGCTAAATGATTACTGCTATTTAAATTTGAATTGAAACCACTACTGTTTCTCTTCGACTGGGTTCCTTTACCTAGATCGATGTTACAGGATTGATCCATCTCCAAGGGGTTTCTTGCTTAGTTGCTTTCAGCTTAAGTGGCTTAGATGTCTGGCATGCCTACTGAAGCTGCCAAATGATATTTAATTAGCCTCCTAACAGCTTCAGTAGGTATGCCAGACATCTAAGCTGCTTAAGTTGATTGCAATTTGGCAAGAATCCCCTTGGAGATAGATCGATCCACAGTTAGTATGATAAGGTCTGGGAATGGTCTCTAATATGATAATGAGAAAAACAAAAGTGGTTTTTGATGTGCCAAATTTACTATTGCAATAGGCAGAGAGCAACTATTGAAGTTATGCCAAACGTATTGATACCAGAAATTGTATTTTTTTGCTATAGATGACTAGATTTATATTGAGATTCTAATTTTTTTTCTATAGATCAGTAAATTTAGTAGCTGTGCCAAACATATCAGTGAATTTCTGCAATAGAAAATACATATACATATTTTTTCTTTGCCTGTTTGGAATTTTAAAAAATATTATTGCTTTGTCTGTAATTCAGACCAGGTCCAATACTCTTATATATTATATCCATAATTGTTTTCAACAAGCTCACTTTTGTACACTTTTGTATAATGCTGTTTTAAAAGATGGTGCTTTTTTTCTATATAACATGAATAGCAGTAATCCAGAGTATTTTATTTAGTGAAGTATTTTTTTTTTTTTTTACAAAATATTGTTTCAGTAAAGCAGTCTTCATAAATTTTTCATTGCCAACCATGACTGTTACCATGGGATATCTCTAGTTGTAAGTCCACACAGGAAACATGAAATTGAAATAAATAATATAGTTAAATGGATTTAAAATACTGCTTTAATTTTTGTTTATAGATAAATGGCGTGGATGATATTTACCTCCAATTCTGTATTTCAAAATTGAAATTTCAGGTTGTCTTCAGAAAAAGCAATAATTGCTCAATGTTAAGTAAAAGCTGGAAAAACGTTCATTGTAGTCCCTAACATAACAAACATACAGCATATTAAGAATATATTGGGGGAAAGCGAATAGATGAGTTACTTGACAAGTATAATAGATTGAGAACAATTTCAAGATCTTCAATACACTTCAAAATTTCTCTCAGACATTCCTACAAGGTGGTTACCTATCCAAGTACTAACCTGGCCCGACTTTGCTTGACTTTGGTGATTGGACGAGAACCAGTGCTTTCAATGTGGTGTGGTCTTTGACGATGAATGCTGGTGCGCCAGCACTGTTTTCTTCAAACTGAAAAGAAACGAAACAGAATCGACACATCTGTATTTGATGCGATGCTAAAGAGGAAAAGGTGGCCAAGCAGTCTTCTATCCTAGTCCTGACCTAGTCCGATGCACTGGTAGACGAAGACAAACGGCGCAAGTGCTATTTTCAGAAAATTGAAATCTTAAAGAAAAAAAGTAGTAAGTGAATGAAAATGAAATCGGCTATGAATAAAATGTCAAAAACATGTCTACGGTGCCAGGTATTGCCAGGCAGTCACGCAGGAAAGTACTTATTGAAGCCCTCAACCAGCCAATCATTGAGCCCTGTTGAGGAAACCTTCTGCTCAAAAGTCCAATCGCAGTGCTCTGTTGAGGAGAGGTTTCCTCAACAGCACTCAATGATTGGCTCCACTAAAACAGTCTCTAATTGTTTAAGAGTGTGAAGAAGCAATTGCCGCTTCAAAATTTCTTTCTGCATCCACTTAGCACAGGCTTCATCCATCTGCCCGCTTTTTGGTCTGTTGGAAAGGAATTTTTGTAAAGAGATCACAGAGGTAAGCTTTGCCTTGCTTGTGATGAAAATAGTGTTAATTTTAGCAAGGAGTTACTCCTTGAATTTAGCTAATGTGTACCATGGCCAAATAACAAAGGAAATTTAGGTCAAGAAAATAGCAGAGTCTGTTGAATCTTTACTCTTAAGTGTAGATTTGCCGTGCTTAACATATTCTTGAGTAGTTCTGAAATTATTGAACTAAATATACACGTATATATAAACGGTAAATAAGGAAGTTACTCCTCCACTAATTATTATGTTACCTCATTTCACGCACATATTTTGACTTGGTGGGGGGGGGGGGGGGGTGCAGATTATATTAGCTGAATTTAATATATCATACTCATTATTGCTTAGATGTACAAAATGTATAAAATTTGGGTATATCTACTATTTGTTAATAGTGCTGTTTGTGTTATCGTATATTTATTGCTATTTGTTGCCTTTTTCTCTAGTAAATAAGCATGGATGACACAAAAGTGTTCCAGTGTGACGTGTGCCAGAAATCTTTCGCGTTTAAGGCTAACTTGACCAGGCACATGCTGACCCATGATGAGGCCAGGGTGAAGCCACATAGATGCCTGCATTGTCCGAAAACATTTTCACAGAAAGGGCATTTGGAAAGACACACTAGGCAGCACCTCTACCCAGTCATCCCCATGTACAAGCCAGGATTTGATAGGCAATACTGCAGTGCAGTAAACCAATGGATCCTGTGTGGTCTGAGCCTGAAACTGCAGAGGCTGCAGCAAGATTGGCTGGTGACCAGTGGTGGTTGATGTTGTTCATCACCTAAAGGAAATCCAGGTGATATTTCTATGTATTTATTGTGCTTAAAGTCATAATAACTCTTTGTTTTGGTCAAAAATTGGATTTTCCTGAAGTAAACGGCAATTTTCCCTTACTTACCAATGGTCAACGACCCCATTCCTGCATTCAAAGTTAGTCTAGGGTTTTTTCCCTAAAAGTTTGGTTTTTTGTTAAAATCTCTTAAGAGATTTTAACTGACGGAACCCTCTCTGACAATGCATAATCACGAGATATCGAGCGATATTTTCTGGTGACCTACTTAAAACAGCGGGAAAAGCAGACAACAACAACACTATATAACAATAATATAAGATTCATAAGATACATTTGTCTTATTGCTCAAAATGCATTTATATCTACGATGTGTGCAATTCTGGGCTTTTCATTATCCGACGTACTGTACAAAAACTCACAACTTACGTCTGCAGATTGCATCAGTAGTTTGGCGCCATGTTATTTTGGTCTCGAATGAACGCGAGAATCCGGATGCCTTGACAACCGGGAAGAAAGGCATCGAAAGCCCTATTGACAAGCACAGATTTTAGTTTTACTACAATTACGACCATTTTAGTGGTAAAATGCAATAGAATATATTTCCATGTGTTGTTTACAATGTATTTCTTGCGGAATTTTGAATCTCAAGGGAAGAGTTATTATTGCTTTAACTAAAACATGATCTTTTAAATATTATAAATTCTGTGTTATGTATGTTAAGTAATGATTATTATTAAATGTTTGTTTCTTTTTATGTAAAGTCTTCTGAACATTTTTAACTCTATTTTTCATCTTATTTTGTATAGTGGTCAAAACTACAAGTGGCTTTGGAGAACGATGTTGGCTGGTATGTGTGTGTGGATGATGTCAGAGTTCTATCTGAAAGGAGAAAACAACGAAAAAATAAAGCGGCAAAAACAGGAACTGGTAAAGCTATTCCCAGCAGTCTATGTGCATTTAGAGAGATAGTTGCAGGTAAGACTTCTCTTTTTTTATAAGTGAATTCAATTTGAATATGCCCACTCATAATCTTAACAATAAATGACATGCCATGTGATATGTATATTTCAGGTTGTTTTATTTTAGATTGTTCATATACAAATAATTACAGGTTATAGTTATCACACTTTTAAACCTATAATTGCAGAAATCAAGAGAGAAAAAAAGGAAGCTGACAAAGAGCTAAGGTTGAAGAGAGAGATGGAACAAGACCCTGGATATGTCGAGGATTCCATACTGTTGACACAAGTAGGTAAAATAATGTACTGTTGCAGATATAGTAGACCACTGCTGCACACAAAGAATTGTGTATTGTTAAAATGCAATTTTTCTTTTAACATTTTTTAAAACCAAATTAACCACATTATCACATAGGCTTTGTGTTGTCACTGATTAAGCTAAGATAATGTTTTTACTTTTCAGAGGATGTGTTAGTTAAGTTGGAGGTGGCTGTCTCCTCTCAGTTGACTACCTGGGGAAATATCACATAATCTGATGCATCTCAGGACATCACTTCACCTTCAATAGTCCCTTCTGATGAAGCATCAGGTTCTGTTGTTTTAGAAGGCTGGCAGAAGTCTTGGAGTGATCAGGCGGAGGGCATCATGGCAGCCAACATCAAGTGGTTGAGAGACAGTGATGAGTGCGGACTTTTTTACATGGGAAAGGAGCACAGTACTGCCAAAGGTATAATGGTTATTAGAAAAACTTTTAAGCCCAAGATGGATTTCCATCCTCCACCACTACCAACTGCAGTAAAGGACTCGATTCCCAACAAGCTAGCTTTTTTTCAACCCCAGCCTTTGTTTGGCGGCCAGTAGGTGTGATGGGATTGAAAATTAAATGTCCAAATTTGAAGTGTTCTGCTCCTCCTGGGCATTATTTAATCAAACATGGCTACAGCAGCACCGCACGTCTTGTCTGTGGAATGAGGTACCATTACACTATGTTGACAGAACGCCTTGTTTGCCCTCATTGCCTCAAATCTCGTCCAACTGTCAGCCAGGGACAAGATGGTGTCAGTTGTGAAGGAAGAAACATACAGTATTCGTGGAATGCCAGCAGTCCACAGATCTTAATGAATCTGCCAACAGCTGTCCGAAGCATTTTCACTGCCATTTTGTGTGGCAAAAGAGCAGTAGACAGGAGCATCGTGACACTGCTGAATGACAGAATAAATTCCATTTCCATGAGTAAAGTGCAACGTCTCATTCAGCAGGGACATGCTGAGTGGTATACTGAAAGAAGGGGTTTGTACCAGGCTGTGTTGTATGATGTCCATATGTCCATACCTCGAGCAGTCCCCCTGACAGTGCCAGTGCATCATCCCAGCCTAGCATAGTTTCATTCTTAAAAACTCCAGGTAGCTACACTCCACCACTCCCCCCTACTCCAGTGCCATCTGCTCGGGTGTTACGACGTGCACACATGCTGAGTGAAATGGAGAAGATGCCAGTCTACAGGGAATCCATCCTCAGTGTAACTGGAGAAATCCTTTGTATAGATGGCACAAGACAGGTATGGACACCATTAGGCTATAAACATTGTATGTTTTTTTATTACCCCCTGTATTATTTTAGTTACTTTGAATTTGTGAGCATTAAATAAAAAAACATGTCTCAAATAGCATTCCATGTTTAAATGTTTTAGTGTATTAAGGTAGCAGTTATGTTATTTTGGAAAATGAATTTCAGTGCATTTAAGAAATTATGATGGACAAGGTACCATGCAGTATGTTACCAGTGTGCTTAATGAATGGGGTCAATTTCTCACTACTGTGGCTAGTTCAAGTCAACACATAAACTGCATGCAGGTATATGTTGTTTGTTTTCTTTGTCTAGATACATATTGCTTTCATTTGGATTTTTCCAGGTAGTCCTCTCAAAAAAAAAAAAAAAAAAAAA